CTCAGGCAGCCATCCTACCAACACCCCACAGTGATAACAGCTCCCATTCATTGAGTCATCAATTACTACACGTCAGGGCCTTACCTACATTGAAACCTTGCGATAACACGGCAGAGGGTGTCATTATTATCTTCGTGTTTATTGGTGATGAAACAAAGCCATAGAGACACCCAGTCACTCAGGTGGCAGTGGCAGGGTCAGGCTGACCGACAAGCCCCGGCTTGTAACCACTGTGCTGTCGCCGCCCCCAAGCGGGGCAAGAGGAACGGAAGCCAGGCCCAGGGGGTGAAGCAGCCTGTGTGCAGCTCCTCCGGGTGGGGCCTGGATTCCAGCTGCAGTGTCTGAGGCCCCACTGCTTGGGTTGCCAGATAAAATACAGGACATCGAATTGAATTTCAGATGAACAACAAATAACTTTTTTAGCATAACATGTTGTTTGGGCTTTGGGGTTTTTTTTTTTGCCAACTCCGGCAGCCCCAACACTGCTAGATGACCTGACCTCAGTACCTTCCCAGACGAAGATGGACGGCCCAGCCCCTTCCCCTCAACTCTCAGGTCCCCATCTTCAACTCATTAGCTTCGCCCCCAAGCACACTTCCATCCCCAGATGGGCTCTGCCCATCTCTCCAGGGGATCTTAGGAACACAGGTAAAGAATCAACCCTTGTCTGGGGCTCACTCGGTGAGGAGGAAACTATTATTTTCCTGTTGCAGACAAGGAAGCTCAGGCAGAGGGGTGAAGTCACTTGCCGGAGAGCACACAGCTAACGTCCAGCAGAGCTGAATTCCCTCCCACCCAGGGTCAGCCTGCCTCCCCCTCCCCCCACCCGTTTAGAGGAGGGACTAGGAAGGGGGTGCAGAAGGTACGTACCTATGGCAGCCTGTGGAGGAGGGTTGGAGGAAGCCATCAGACAAGGTCCAGCTCAGAGCAGCACTGCCCCAGCTGCTTGCCTGTGAAAAAAAGGTCAAAAATCCAATTAGATGGAGTTTAAGGCTGAAGTTTCAGCCGCAGAGAGGGTCACTGACTCCTGGCCAGGCACTGCAGCCGATGAGCTATCACACTCCTTTCCCGGCAGCTTCAGAAGCACAGGACACCCCGAAAGGGCCCAGCTGCACCCATCATAAATCATTAACCCAGAAAAACCAGCAGCTGCAGAACTGTAACCCCTGCCTTCCCAGAAAGCCCCTGCCACCCCAGACCTTCCTCCCGTCCAATGCCAAGGGCCCTCAGGAGCCTGGTGGGTCCAGCGGGACAACCCCCCTTGTCCCCTCAGGCTTACAGGTGAAGCTCCAACGCCAGAAGCCGGGATCGCGCTCAGCCCCATGTTCTAGAGGCTGGATCAAACCTGAGCTGTCATAGATGCGGCCAGACACTTCCTACCCCTGGGTGCTCAATAACCACGGGCTCCCTCAAATCCAGGCACTCCCACCAGCTGTAGACCATTCACTCTCTCTGTCTCCCCCATCCTGCCCCGCAGGGTTGGCCAGCTGGCAAGGGGCCACCCGGTCATGGCACATCGGTCTAAGGGAAGTAAAGGGCTGCAGAGAGGCAGACGGCACGAGATAGGGGCAGAAACCCAAATGCTCAAATTGAGGAGCAGTTTCTGCTGGCCTCACAGTGGGGGCTCAAGCAACCAAGAGGCTGGTACCCCTGGTGGGGTTCCAGGGCCCTGGTGCCAACCTTACCAGGTGTCCCCTACCGAGCAGTGAGGGAGACTTCTCCCCACTTCCTACTGGCACCCCCGATTCTGAGACGGGGGCCGTCCTTCTGGGAGGCATCCTGGAGGGGAGGGGAAGCAGCAGCCCTCCAGTCTAATCAGCCCCTGACACAAACCAAAGGAAATCACTGTTTTCCTTTCCACTCCTAACGTCTGTACTTCTATTAAGTGGCTTCTTAAATAAAAGTGGAATGCGTGTAAATGGTAATTAATAACAGTAAACATTGAAATAGTGCCTACTCGATCGCAGACATTATTCTAAGCACTTTACAAGTGATGTTTACATATATGAATCCAAGTTGTAAATCAGAACATGAGGCCCAGAGTGGTTAAGTTGCCCAAGATCACACAGCTGGTAAGTGGCAGAGTCAGGGTTTGAAGCCAGGCCACGGCCCCCGGAGTCTGTGCTCCTTCAAGTAACCACCATACTCTCATGCCTCTCGAAATCCAAACACCATAATGGGTGTACAGTGAAAGGAAGCCTCCCTGATCCCACAGACGTGACCGCTGTTCCTGGTTCTCTGTGACTCCTCCAAACTATCCCAATATGTACCAGCTGGTCCACCTGGAGAGATGTGTTTTACACAGAAGGAAGAAGCACACAGCACCCACTGTGTTGCAACCACCTTTATTTTTTTTTTTTGCTTAAGAATCTAAGAGATCGGGCCAGCCAAGTGGCGCGTTGGTTAAGAGTTGGCGTGGGACACCAGCTCTGAGCAGCAGGGCCCCAGTTCGGATCCCATACGCAGGCCAGTGACGCTGCGCCCTCTACAGCTAAGATGGTGAACAACAGCTCAACCTGGAGCTGGGCTGCTGTGAGTCCCGGTGACGGCGTAGGCTGCAGTGGGGCTAGCCAGCAGCTGGCATGAGCTTTCATGAGCTGCCGTGAGCTTTCGTGAGCTGCCATGAGCCACAGTGAGCGGCCGTCCAATGGCCGGCGAGCGACTGCCTCACCCGGGAAAAGCGCAATGATAATACAACATGGGCCAGTGAAGCAACGTCCTCCACAACTAGACTGAAGAACAA